ACATTACCCTCAAACACAGCACTCTCTCACACACACACACATTACACTCACACACACACACACATTACCCTCACAAACAGCACTCACACACACAGCTCCCTCTCACACACATCACCCTCACACACAACACTCTCACACACATTACCCTAACACACAACACCCTCACACACAACACACACTCACACACACACACACACACACACACAGCTCACTTTCTCACACACTTCACCCTAACACACACACTTTACCCCTCACGTTACCCTCACACACACATTACTCTCACATACACAGCACCCTCACACACAGCACCCTCACACACAAAATTTCACCCCTCACCATTACAGCATCCATCACACACTGCACCCCTCTCACACACACACACACACACACACACTTTACCCCACACACACACACACACTGCACCCATCACACACTACCACACCCCTCACACAAACACTGCTCCCCTCACACACATACTGCATCCCCTATACACACACTCTCTACAGCCCCTAGCCACACATGCATTACATTACACCACAAACACAAAGCGACTAAAACCAACCTTATTAGTCAATACCACACCACAATCAGCTCACTCTACTCACAATCAATCCCACAAGCATGCTCAAAACACATGCACAATACTCTTTCTTGGCCCTTTTGTCTCCTGATATCCCATTTATAGAGACACCAGAGACAAGTTCCAAGGAAACACAGCGCAAGCATGTTATTAAATTTGCTTGCACTGTACAGAACAAATACAGGGCCTTTTTCTCATACTAGAGCTCTTCAGCAGAGCTGTGCACATGGTTTGCCCTGGAAGGACATTGAACCAACATGCTCATTTTGAGAGGGGGCGTGCTTGTCATTAGTGATGACAAAACACACCCTCTCTGCCCCGCCTCCTTCCTCGTGGGCCGCTGTGATTAAAAAATGCCCGGGACAATTTTTTTACCAGTCCGGCCATGATTCCAACGGGGGTACAATATCTGTTTTCCTTGTGGCTCATATTGAGTGTCTGTGTAGATTCATTCTGAGATGCAGCTTAAGGCCAGTTTCTCAGCCTTTGTCACACATTGTACGCTGTATCATGTACACCACATTCGTAGATGTCCACAAATATGATCCCTTAATGTTGTATGATTTGTTATTGTGTCTGGCAGTGTTATTGCCACATAGATGTTGACGCAGTTTGCAGAGTGATTTGTTGCATCGTACAGTGCCATTCTGTGTGAGCTCCTGTTCTCTGGTCAATTTGCTGCGGACCAATCTGTCTCAGGTTGGGCGGTTGTTTGTATGCCAGTGGGGGGGGGGGGGGCTCAGAAAATATTTCTTTGAGTGTGGGAGTCCTCTGAAATTAATGGTTGTAGCTCTGTAATAATTTTACGTACTCCTTCTAGAGTTTGATTGTATGTAACTACTAGAGGGATTCTTGTTTTGTTTTCCCATTCTTTGTATTGTAGGAGCCTTTCCCGTGGTGTGCTTTTAGGGCAGATTCTATTTTATTTTTCAGATTTTGTCCTATCCTTGTAGTCCTTTTGCCTAAATGACTCTGATAGTGTACTCAGGTGCTGATCTCTGTCTTTTGTGTCAGAGCAAATGCAGTGATATATGGTAGCCTGGCTGTAGATGATACCTTGTTTGGTGTGATGGGGATGGAAGCTGGAATTGTGAAGGTAGCTGTATCTGTCTGTGGGTTTTCTATATACAGACGAATGAAGAATGCCATTGGTGACGGTTATTGTGCAGTCCAAGAAACTCACACTATGATTTGAAAAGTTCATTTTAAAGTTTATTGACAGGTGGAATGAAGTGAATGATTTGCTGTTGCTGTTTAGGGGATAATGGAGTGCGCTGGAGTTTAATTGTTTTTATTGTATAAATCTGTGTTACTGAGATCTTCTCCTTTGCCGAGATAATCCATCCACCTCACAGGTGTGGCATATCAAGATGCTGATTAGACAGCCTGATTATTGCACAAGTGTGCCTTAGGCTTGCCACAATAAAAGGCAACACTAAAATGTAAATTTTTACTGTATTGTGAGGGTTAAGGGGGGGGGGTTCCGAAAACCAGTCAGTACCTGGTGTGACCACCATTTGCCTCACGCAGTGCAACACATCTCCTTCGCATAGAGCTGATCAAATTGTTGATTGCGGCCTGTGGAATGTTGGTCCACTCAACTTCAATGGCTGTGCGAAGTTACTGGATATTGGCAGGATCTGGAACACGCTGTCATATACGCCAATCCAGAGCATCCCAAATATACTCAATGGGTGACAGGTCCAGTGAGAATGCTGGCAATGCAAGAACTGGGATGTTTTCAGCTTCCAGGAACTGTTCAGATCCTTGCAACATGGGGCTGTGCGTTATCATTCTGCAAAATGAGGTGATGGTCGTGGATAAATGCACAACAATGGGCCTCAGGATCTTGTCACGGTGTCTCTGTACATTCAAAATGCCATCAATAAATGCACCTGTGTTCATTGTCTATAACATATGCCTGCCCATACCATAACCCCACCATGGGCCACTCGATCCACAATGTTGACATCAGCAAACTGCTCACCCACACAACACCGTACACGCTGTCTGCCACTGTAGAGTGAAAACCGGGATTCATCCATGAAGAGAACACCTCTACAAAGTGCCAGACGCCATTGAATGTGAGCTTTTGCCCACTCAAGTCGTTTACAAGCCCACTCAAGTCAGTTACGACGACGAACTGCAGTCAGGTCGAAACCCCGATGAGGACGACGAACATGCAGATGAGCTTCCCTGAGATGGTTTCTGACAGTTTGTGCAGAAATTCTTTGGTTATGCAAGCCAATTGTTGCAGCAGCTGTCCGGGTGGCTGGTCTCAGATGATCTTGGAGGTGAAGATGCTGGATGTGGAGGTCCTGGGCTGGTGTGGTTACACGTGGTCTGCAGTTGTGAGGCCGGTTGGATGTACTGCCAAATTCTCTGAAACACCATGGGAGGTGGCTTATGGTATAGAAATGAACATTCAATTCATGGGCACCAGTTCTGGTGGACATTCCTGCAGTCAGCCTGCCAATTGCATGCTCCCTCAAAACTTGCGACATCTGTGGCATTGTGCTGTGTGATAAAACTGCACATTTTAGAGAGGCCTTTTATTGTGGCCAGCCTAAGGCACACCTTTGCAATAATCATGCTGCCTAATCAGCATCTTGATATACCAC